TTCGAAGAGCGTAGTCGTACCGCCGCTAGAGTACGCTGGAGAAGTATGGGAAGGAATTAAGAAGGTAGTGAAAGAACTCGAGGCGGCGCAGATGAAAGCAGCGAAAATGATCCTAGGATGCTCCAAGCGCACAAGTAATGCAGCCGTGAGGGCAGAATTGGGGATCCAATCCCTACGGTCGGGAAGAGACGCGAGGAAGCTGACCTGGCAGTATCGCATGTGCGGGATGGGACAGGAGAGGTTGCCAAGAATTGTATGGGAGGCGAAGTGGGCAAACAAAAAGAGGGGTAGACAACCCACGGAATGGGTCAAGGTTGTAGAGGACGAATGGAAGGGGCTCGACATGGACGAAGATGAAACGCTGGAAACGGAGGGTCTACAGGGGTTCAAGGAGAAGATATCTGTTGCTTGTGCCGAGAGAGAAGAACAGAATCTGAGGAAAGAATCCAAGGATAAGGAGGGTCTAGAAGTGTACGGAATGTTGAAGGAAGGAATAGGGTTCAAGGACTACCTACATGGACCAATGGATGCAGGAACAAAGCTTAAGGTCAAATTCAGGACCGGGGACATAGGCCTTCGAGAACGTCGACGAAGACATAGGACGGTAGACGAGGAAGACGACGAGTTCAAATGTGATTGCGGCTTCGAATGCGAAGACCGTGTTCATGTAGTCGCGGAATGTCCGCGGTACAAGAAGGAGAGGGAAGTGTTCGTGACTGAGCTGGGAAAAATAGATGGAACGTACAGGGAGATGTTTGAGGCATGGAATAGAGAGGAAAGGACGGTAGCTGTACTGGGGCATAGGAGGTGGGTTGAAAAGGCGGGAAGGGATATCGTTAGGATAGACAGACTAGGGAAGACATTCTTGAGCCACCTTTAGTAAAGTAGACAGGAACGATTGGCCATCGGTGATCGGTCCTGTGGAAACAATGCTCCGTCTCCTCGAGGACGCGTGGTCAATGGTCTCACCGCTAAGGCATGCAAAACATAAGAGTACGCCCCCCCGCCCGGTGTGTCGGGGTTGGGTTTTCGTCGCTTGGCAGCGACGTTGTAAAACAAGCCCATCACTGTGTGAGCTCAGCAACCAGGCAACCGTTTTTTCTTTTTTTGCTTGTATTTGGTTTGGCGGTAACCATGAATGGTGGTCGAGAATATTATGTTGTGCGGGCTCCAGAACCCTCACTCCGCGCAAAGGGGAAAACCGCTCGTTGGTTAAAATGGTCAAGCACCCTCGAGGCAGTTACACAGCAGTGCTTATTACTCTCTCTTGAAGTGAAAGCACCAGAAAACGCAGCTGTCATCCGTAAGCAAGGAAGTATGCACAAAATACCGAACACGCTTCGCAGGATGAAGCACACCCTTCATGCGATTCGCCGAATATCTCACGGCGCTTCGCGCTTGGTGATGTGAGAGCCTGGTCCGGTGAGAACCCGGCGTGCTCCGCCCCGGCTTTGTAGGGATGCGAGGTCAATGGTCCAACGACTACGGTTTGCACGACTATGAGTACACCCCCTCCCCGGGCTGGTTAGACCGGGAGGTCGAGCTAACCTACTCAGAGCGCCCTTTTATCTGCCCTCTTTGGTGTCATGGGCTTCAAGAGACGCGATCATCCGCGAGTCACTAATACTTGAAAACCGTTTTTTTTTTGTATTTGTGGCGTACATGACAAGGTGTGCAATCCAGAGGAAATGGAGAGGAGGATTGAAATTACGTTCGTAATTCACTGTGTGTAGTATTATTCCGTGCAGTGCCGGCCCGGTACTAGTAAGCAGACAATGTTTACGAATATGTACTGAAATGCAATCGCGCAAAAAAAAAAAAATCGGCTCAGCCGCCGACTCCACATAAGATCCCAATTGAAGTGAAGCTTAGCATTACCCTGTACCCAATCATCAAGAGGGTTGAATTGCATGACTCTGAGCCTTGCTCAAAAACGGTGTTGTCCTCCAATTTCCACTTCCGGGGTACACAGCAGCAGCGAGTACAGCAGCAGTACCCCCAAAAGTGTCGTACCGCACATGTACGACTGATGACACGCACCTGCAGCGCTTCCTCTGCCTCCCCGAGCTTCTCCCTCAGCCCAGCCGTGCAGTCCTCGAGCCGTCGCCCCCCCTCTACCTTGGTAGCCTCCACCTTCGCCTCCGCCGCGGCAAGAAGGCTCCTAACTTCCGCCTGGCTCTGCAGAGGTGGGGGCGGAGACATCGACGGATGGACCGACAGACAGAGCTATCAGTGTTAGATGTCCCCTCAGCAGGGCCGCACAAGTACTGCCGGTTAACCTGAATAAAACCGGTGACATCGCTTGGAACAGATGGGATATTCAGCGTGTCACATACATACAAGCGCATGCTCTTAGGAGCGATGGCGGGGGGCGTGGGATACCGGGGCGGGCAGGAGAGCGACTGAGTGTCTCGTCTAGGAGAGGACCTCGTGGCCTTCAACATGAGAGACGAAAAGGAAGGGGGTAAATGGAAAGAGAGCACCAAGGACCCAGAGGTGTGGTACAACAAGGTCGAGGACGGGGCGGCATGGTCATGAGGAAATGGCACAGGCAGGAGGCGGAAGCGTCCGCGAAGCGCCAGCGCGCGAGGGAAGCAGAAGCAGAGAGTACGGCCATGTCAGGACCGAAGAGAAAGAGAGCCGGGGAAGCGGCGGTGGGGGGGAAGAAACGGCGACCGGGCACTGCTGTAGAAGCGAGTAGGGCGGCCGAGGCAGCACTTGTGGCAAACTATGTACCCGGCTGACGTTGTTGCGCCCTGTTTTCCTCCCTGCTGTATGCTATACTCCTTTATGTATGTCCGTCCTTTGTATTGCCTTCGGCCTCTGTGCTGTGTTTCTTTTTTTCATGTCCTCCCTGCCAAATCTGCTGTGTTGGGTACCTTGATCTCGCTTTTGCTGTTGCCTTTGTTTTTGTACGTCTGGCTGCTGCCCATCTGCCGCTGCTTTGTCCTGTTTGCTCCGTTACTCCCATGCCCTGGTGCGTAGTGCCTGGTGCTGGTACGTTACCCTTTGATTTTTTCTTTGGGCGGGTGTGGGAAGCGTCCTCCTTTATTTTTTGTTTTTGTTTTATTTTGATCGTTTCCGAGGGCTCTTTTCTCGAACGGTCGGTGCGATACCTGTTCTTTTCTTTCTATCATTTTGTTTTCTTTTTCTGAGTGGTTTGTACCCTTTTTTTGTTTTGTTTCCCCGCGGCGTCGTATGTGCCGGGTTCTGAGACCACGGGCTCCCCATTTTTTGTGGACTATAGAGCTAATGTGAGAAACAACAACAACAATAACAAGAATACGTCAGCCCGGTGCTGTAAGGCCGGTCAGACCCCTTGGCGCCATGCGGCCCTATTACAGGGCCCACTGCTGTGCTGCGGGCAATGAAACTGGTGTGATGCTAGTCTATCCCTTTCTTCCCCTCGCTGCCTCGGCAAGGTTTTGCGTAGGCATGACCCTTAGCGAGGGGGGGGGTCTTTCTAGCGAGCAGGGCTACGCTCACCCTCAAGGGACTGATACCTTCTTGCTGCGGCGCACCCGCCGCGAGGCGTGCGTAGTGGTGGAGTTGGGGCGGCACTGGTGCGTCAGGTACAAAGGTGCAGATGCGCGGGCCTCCAGGCCGTCGGTGTAGGCAGCAATGCCCATCTCATCTTTGTGCGCGGAGGCAGACGTCATCGGAAAGGTGGACGGGCACTATGTACACGGCCCTAGGTTTGCTAGAGGGAGCTGTACTGTATCAGTAACCTGGTTTTGCCATCAAACGAGGAGGGGACAGTTGGTGACGAGCTGATTGGGCTGGTTGATCCTTCGGCGCGAGAATTATTATACCAAGAACCCTAAGTGCAACGAGGGAGAAAGCGAGGAACCGACTGGGAAGGACAGCAACGAGAGCGTGTACGACGCGGAGCGGGTCGAGTTTGGACGTGCTGGGACTGGCCACAGCGGCACCGGAGCAGCGGCACCGGAGCAGGCGGACGGCATCGAACCGTGGCGCACGGACAAACATCTCTTGTGTTGTCAATTATTTCTCCGTTTTTTTCCTGAATACAGGTGTTGGGTGTGTGTGATGATGTCACTGGTTTTGTAGAGAGACGCGGCAGAGATGGCGCGGAAAACCCGGGTGCCTTAATTGTGTACCTGCATCGTGGAAGACCCCTTCAATGTGGAACGATTCCTAGTCAGTGTCGATGTTTACACTGCTGTGCCTAACACAGATGATCTGGATAGATTCGGGTGATTGTCAAATGCAATGATGGCTTTGGTTGGGTGTTCTTCTTCATTGTATATCCACGGACTCATTGTGACAGCACTTCAGACAGCAGCTGCATGCCCCAAGCTTGTGTACCATGCACCAGGGTGTTATTTTTGTACAGACAGCACTTTAGACAGCAGTACGCTGTAGTCGACAAACATTTCATTTTGGTTAAATGCGGGACAAGGGGGGTGATGCTGCTGCTGTAGTCGATTTGTAGTGTGTGGGCGTGTAGTTCAGTTGCGAGCATGCAAACGTGCTGCAGGGATTGCAGGTGTACCTCCTCGGGCTTGCGTACCCTTTTCTTGCTAATAGTGTGAGTGTTCTTTAGATTTTCTGATGGCTCCAGCATTTTTGTGACCACGGACCGGGTCTTTGCTAGATTTTGGGATTAGCAACTGACACGAGTTTAATGTGAAGAAAAACAACAACAACAAACAATACAAAGGTGCCTTTTAGCTCCAGGGTCACACGATCAAATCACCCCCCCTCGCCCCCCCCGGTGTTTGCCATCGGGATTGGGTTTTCGTTGCTTGGCAGCCATGTTGTAAAACAAGCCCATCGCTTCGTGAGCTCGGCAACCAGGAAAAGGTGAGCTGGTGGCTTCTGATGCCACACTTTTTTGTTGCGGTAACCATGGAATGGTGGTCGAGTAGGTTATGTTGTGCGGGGTCCAGAACCCTCACTCCGCGCAAAGGGGGATAATCCCACCACGTTGTGTTAAATTGGTCAAGTACCCTCGAGGCAGCTACACAGTGCCTACAACTGTCTCAGGAAGTGAAAGCACCAGTAAATAAATTAAGTCATACGCAGCTAGCTGTCATCCGTAGGCAAGGAAGTAAGCACAAGATGCCGAACACC